ATGACTTGTTGTGTGGTGGAGCACTTTGGGATCCCCATATAGTGATCTTGGTCTCCAGATCCTCAGGCAGCCTCCCTGGGAGTGATCACTAGTCTTGACCAGGTCTACAGGAAAATACTCCAAAGTGCATTCTGTAGTCATAAGTTGCTGCTTTATTGACACTTTCTTCCTTACAATACTGTAAGGAATACTTTCCTTGCTAACATGCAAAAGAAAGTGTGTTTGGGATGATGTGTTCATAGACATGGCAAACATAAAGCAGTGAAGTCATTGTTAGCAGTGTCCTAGTAGTTGTTCATTTTTTAGTGCTAGTAGAACATTAATTCCCAAACAAAGCAGAGGGAGACAGGTGTATTAAGCCCTAAATGATGTCTGTTTCACCTCCTTCCCAGAACAACCACTGGAGGTCATCTGTTATGTATGGAAAAAAATTCTGCCTGGGAAACTTTTAGCTTTGCTTTTAATAAAGTGCCCCTACAACCCTACCCCACCCCAACCCCGCAGAAATGGTGTTTGCATAGCTTGATGTAAGACTTGCTGTGTCTGTTTCATTATTTCCCGACACTTACCAAATGGAGGGTGGGAGGAAGGGTAGGAGGGAGGGAGGGAGGGAAAGAAGGGGAAAGAGATAGAAAATCTTCCATCTGCTGGTTCAATCCCCCAGTAGCTACAATTACCAGGGCTGGGCCATGCTAAAGCCAAGAGGTAGGAACTCCATCTGGGTCTCCCCTGTGGGTGCATTAGCAGGTAGCTGAATCTGAAGCAGAACAGCTGAGACCTGAACCAACGCTGTGATGCGGCATGCTGGCATCGCAAGCAGTGGCTTAGATAGCCCTGCCAAAATGTCAGCCCCTATTTCAAGTTTTAACATGTATTTATTAATCTTAACATATTTTGATAATTTACAGAATTAGTAAGTCTCAGAGGTAACGTGCTGGATCTGTCTCTTCTATCTCTACTTTTAATTATTATTTTACAGTGTATATGGAATTTCTACATTTGTGTGTGTGTGTGTGTTGAGGGAGGAGGGGGTGTTGGTGTTGTTTTTAGTAAAAGCCTAAGGATCTTTTTCGAGAAGTCTGTGCAGTGTCTGCAGCTCCGCTTGGGTGAAGGGAAATCCTTCGGAACCTGTCAGGGATTCAGACACCGCCAGGGTCTGTGGGAGGTTGATGTCCTCTGCAGAAATGTATGGTGACAGCACACTGCAGGTGGTCCATGCTGCGCTGCTCAGCGGCCAGAAAGGATACCCTGCCCAATTTGTCATCCCTTGGAATCTTGTCAGCAGCTGAAAGTCTGAAGCACAAAACCTTGAAGACTGAAGGCAACTTCCTTCCTGATTATTTTTTTGGAAGCAGTTGTCTTGGATGAAAATATTAATGCATAGCACATAATTAAACATGTTTTCACATGAAAATATAGTATTATGTTAAAATTAGATGCCGTGGGAAATAGAGAAATGTTGTCTGCTCCATGATTTTAAAAGCAACTTTTATTTTCTTTCCGATTCAGTTGTTAAAGGATAGCTGATAATAGATGCTAAAATCACCCCCTCTTCACTCTCATTCCTTTTGTTTGTAGACTTGTGAAACATATCTTGAAATGCATTTTGAAAAGGGATTTTTGTTGGAGAAATTAGAAAATTGACCCAATTGTAGTGTTCAATAGTAGATTCAACAATAGCATCTTTGAAATCCCAAGTTTTCCATTGTCAAGCTTCTTATCTGGTTGAAAAATACAAAATTAAGGCTCTTCTCTCACCCATTAATAACTTACTGTTATTATCAAATGCTGTTTTTGTGCTTTTACCCAGATTATCAATAATTCTGCAAAAAATCCTCTAAGAGTATAAATATCCTTATTTTCTAAATGGGAAAATTGATCACCTGGGTGGCGGTTAAGTGACTTGCTGAAGGACACAAAGCTAGTAGGAGATGGGATTTGAAGCAGATCTGTCTCCAAAATCCAAGTTACTTTGACTGAAAAATTCATCCCCAGAGCAGTGAAAACGGTCCACCAACATGCGTTCACCTTCAATAAGAGGCAAGAAAGGTTATGAGTAATTCAGAAACTGAATAATCAGATGTTGAGTACTCGACCCTGGTAGAATAATGATCAGGAAGAAATCAAAAATCACAACAAAATGCACACTTTCTAAAGAAATGGGCACAAAAGGCAGAAGGGAAAATAATATATGAAAGAAAGGGAAAAAAAAAGGAAATGAGTTTCCAAAACTCCCCTAATAAAGTAGAAATTAGCAAGGAAGACAAATAGCTAAAAATCTAAGAATGAGTCAGTAGACAATAAAAAAAATTGTCTAAAGCTGGATATTCTTTCCGATAGAGTAAGTAAAAATTTCACTGACTTGTTTCTGGTTTTGCTTCTTATCCTAATAATATCAGTAATGAGCACTGTGTGAATTAGACTGTTTTGAATAGGAACTGAGCACTGTCTGTGGTGTCTTGAATGATGTTCAAGGAGGGAGAGGTTCTGAAACTCAGTACCCTTGAAGCCTCAGCTCAAGTTATAGCTTCATTGACTCCACAGACCAATGGTGTAGACATCAGTTTCTTTTCTTTTTTTAAAGATTGATTTTGGCTGGCGCCGCGGCTCAATAGGATAATCTTCCTCTTGCGGCGCCAGCACACCGGGTTCTAGTCCCGGTTGGGGCGCCAGATTTTGTCCCGGTCGCCCCTCTTCCAGTCCAGCTCTCTGCTGTGGCCTGGGAAGGCAGTGGAGGATGGCCCAAGTGCTTGGGCCCTGCACCCCATGGGAGACCAGGAGAAGCACCTGGCTCCTGGCTTCGGATCAGCGTGGTGTGCCAGCCGCAGCAGCCATTGGGGGGTGAACCAACGGAAAAGGAAGACCTTTCTCTCCCTCTCTCTCTCTCTCACTGTCCATTCTGCCTGTCAAAAAAAAAAAAAAAAAAAAAAAGATTTATTCATTTGAAAGGCAGAGTTACAGAGAGAGAAGGAGAGAAAGAGAAAAGTATTCCATCCACTGATTCACTCCCCCAAATGGCCACAATGGCCAGGGCTGGGCCAATGCAAAGCCAGGATCCTGAAGCTTCTTCCAGGTCTCTCACATGGGTGCAGGGGCCCAATCACTTGGGCCATCCTCTTTTGCTTTCCCAGGTGCATTAGCAGGGAGCTGGATGGGAAGTGGAGCAGCCAGGAGTCAAACTGGTGCCCATAAGGGATGTCCGCACTGCAGGCTGTAGCTTACCCACTACACCACAACACCAGCCCCAGTGGCGTCATTTTCAAATTCACTTCCACATAGCTGTGAAGTTTGACAAGTGAATGTAAACATTTTCACATAAAGATGTTGTAAACCCAAATGAAGGCTGATTTCAACCCCTAATTCAAAAGAGTAAATTTTATTTTTATCCTACTTCATTTGACATTCTCAGAGATGCGGAACTGTCTTTCCATTTCCTCAAAAGTTTTATGGCAATCAGCCATTCAAGAGTGTTCTTTTGAATATGAACTAGAACCGAGCAGAAACTTTTAGCAGAATGGCTTCTGATCTACATGTGAATATATATTCAATTATAATTTTTTCATTTGGAATTGATAAGCCACCTTATGTTTTTCTTTGCTATACATACTATCTAAAAATGGAAACAAATCGGATGCAACTAGAAACCATTATGTTTAGTAAAATTAGCCAGTCTCAAAAAGACAAATGTCATATGCTTTCTCTGATCTGTGAATACCAAAAACGCATAAGAATGAAATGGTCATTTTGGGATATGATTGTAGTTTTTAGCCCTTGTTTATATTCCTGTGGGATTGTGATCTCCCTACTTTTTACTTGTTGAATATTATGGCTAGTAGGGAATTAAGCCTGTGAATATAGAGTGGGTTAAAATTATGGCTTTGCAAAAACTGATGAAGAGAGGGGAGGGAGGGAGTGAGGGAGGAAGGGGCATGGGGAAGAGAAGGGGAGTGGGGGAAGTGTGGTTGTCTTCTTGGAACTGTACCTATGGAATGCATAAATTATTTATATTTATTTATTTTTTATATTAATAAAAATTTTAAATTGAAAGCCACTGTACATATAAAGCATTAATTTCCAAAATGAATATTATTATAAATTATAAAATGAATAATATTATAAATTAGTTGCCATTAAAAACTGACATCCAAATTAAGCTGCATTGACATGACCTTGGACCAGTACCTTTGAGTTTTCCTGGAAAATGTGATTTTCCTTCATGATGTTAGAGCTTCTCTTTTTCCAGCTACCTTAGAGGATAAAGCATTGGTTGTAAAAAATGTTGTGCCTTTTTCCTATTTAATTATAATTAAATTTTTAAAAAAGGTTATTTATTTGAAAGTCAGAGTTACACAAAGAGAGGAGAGGCAGAGAGAGAGAGAGAGGTCTTCCATCTGATGGTTCACTCCCCAACTGGCCGCAACGGCAGAAGCTGGGCCAATCTGAAGCCAGTAGTCAGGAGCTTCTTCCGGGTCTCCCACATGGGTGCAGGGGCCCACGGATGTGGGCCATCCTTTACTGCTATCCCAGGCCATAGCAGAGAGCTGGATCGGAAGTGGAGCAGCCAGAACTAGAACCGGCGCCCATATGGGATGCCGGTGCTTCAAGCCAGAGCATTAACCCACTGCGCCACAGCACCGGCCCCATCATTAAATTAACTGTATAATTACTTATTGTTTTAGAATTGGACTCCACAAGGGTACATCAGAAAGTTCATGGAAAAGTAGAATTAAAGGATAAGTTTATTTTGGTGTAAAAATTTTTTTAAATCTATGCATAGAATTTAAATAAATAAATCTATGCATAGTTTTTGGTCCATTAAATGCATTCTAAGTACACACAAATAGTCCTTAACTTCTCTCCTATTGTTTGCCAAGTCTGAAAGTTTAGTGAAGTTCACTCTATATCATGTGAACATTTTCACCTAAGAGAGTGTAAGAGTGAAATCCGCTTAGACAGGGAAATATGGACGTAAACCTTCTTCTGTTCTCTCTCCTCTCCAGCCACATCGACGTCCACCACCGGGACAAGTCACCTTGTCAAGTGTGCCGAGAAGGAGAAAACTTTCTGTGTGAATGGGGGCGAGTGCTTCATGGTGAAAGACCTTTCAAATCCTTCACGATACCTGTGCAAGTAAGGAAAGAAACCCTCTGTGTGGCTTACATCCATACCTGCTTATTCTGGATGATTTTGTGTCTCATGATGGATCGTTGCTTTTTTCCGATTCCGTTGCATCCTGTTGAATAATGCCATTTTGTTTGTAGAGTGTTTTGGAGCATTAATAGCATTTGTCACTCCTGTGTTTTATCCAGAACTGGTTTTTGTTCTTTTCAGCATGTATGGGTTTTTTTGCTTTTGTTTTCTGGCCTTTGTATTTATAATGCTGCTTTCATCATGGTTTTCTTCATTGTTACTCAAAAAGAGTTGTGTGAATATCACAAAACCCTATGATTTTTGATACCTACTTCTCCATCCAGTGCATAAATTAAGCTGTAAGATAATGTTCCTTTCTTATCCCAACGGTCACCTGCAGATGAATAGTTCAACTAAGAAGCATAGAAGATCACTGACACTTGGAATTATCTTATAGTTTCATAAGTCTTTTTTAAAAGACTTACGAAAATGCATTTAGGGCTGATACTGCTAGTGGTCAAAAAGCAAATGGCTTCTATTTGGAAAAGCACTTAGTGTGTGTAGCCTCATTGTATGTAGAAAGCAGCGCTCTTTCATGCTCTGCTATTGCCTATAGATACACTATAATGGCTGTTTCCTTACAATGTCCTGGAGTGGCTGATGTGCCATTAGGAAGTATCAAATTCTCTTAGCAGGCAGCATTAAAACAGTGACATTGTCAGTATATTAAATATTTAAACCTGTAGTAAAAATGTGTGAGTCCCATTAAAGCACGTGTTTATTGTGTCATGAATTTCATATCTACAATTGATATTTATTCCATAGATGGTATGTGGATTCATAATTTGAAGCGAGTAGAAGGTGTTTAATATCTGTTGAAATGTTGAAAAATATACATTTATTTTGCTGTTGACCAATAGCTGTGTCCCAGAAGCAAGATATTTTAAAAGCAATTCCTTTAAAAATACAGTGTAGAAGATCTAACAGATCTTGCAGGCATTCTATGATAGGAAATGCACAATGGGTACATTGTTATAAGGTAGCAATGTTTATCCTAAAGCAGGAAAAACCATTCAATCATAAAAATTGTCTCTTGTTCTAACACATCGGTATGTGACTTAACTGTTGATAAGAAAGAGCAAGTCTAGTAGAGAGGCAGTTGAATTATGAAAAAGAATAATTTAAAAGGATTACAAAATAGTTAACAAGGCTGTTTTCTTTTTACATTGTACAAATAGGATCCAATGCTTATGTGTCAGCTCTAAGAAAGTCTTTATTTTTGGAAGTAATGAAGTGTATCTTCAAAGATGTATGTTTTTAAGTTAACACAAACATATACACCATCAATTCATTTATTTATTTATTTATTTATTTGGCAGAGATACAGACAGAAAACTCCCACCCACTGGTTCACTCTTTAGATACCTGCAACCCCAGGACTGGGCCAGGCTGAAGCCAGGAGTTTGGAACTCTGTCCAGGGCTTCCATGTGAATGACAGGGACTCAGCTACTTGAGCTGAGGAAGCTAGAGTAAACAGTGGAGTTGAGACATAAACCTAGGCAATGCAAAATGGGAAGCAGGCATCTCAGCCTGTGTCTTTTTAGTAGTCCAAACACCTGCCCCACCACACACACACACACACACACACACACACATTCAGTTTTGTAGAAAATGTTCTGCCTCTCCCAAAGAAGTTGAAGATTGCGCTTCTATGTAGTGGGAAGCATGGGACCTCATGGCTGTGACCTCCTGCCTTCCAGAACGGCTCCTTGCAAGTAGGAGAAGAACCAAAAGTTTATAGCTGATGTTTAAAAAATAAATATGGTCAGTTAGAGTGAATAAGAACTATGGAATAGAAGGTTAGAATTCTAATCTCTTACTGAATTTCCCCTTCCTAGAAATAGGTAATAGTAATAAGCCAAAGTAAAATTATAGGTAACAGTCTTACAAAACTTTTACAGCAAGGCAAATATGAGAGTGTGTAGAAAATCATTCCTTTAGGATCTGAATGATCTCCTATGACTGTTTTATTGTTTAAAAATTAATTGACATTTTGATCATTAAAACATTCAAATCTATCTGGCTGTAGCAGAATAATAATTTGTCACTTTTGATGTTTGTTGTGCTGGTTTGCAGTAATTACAGCACAAACTGGCACCCCATGTTCATCATAGTGAGTTGGGATGAGTAAATTTTATAGTTTCCCGCAAGATTTTCTCTGATAAAAATAGAAAATACCAGAAGCTGAGAAATATCATCTCTAAAATATAAGATTCACTTATTATATGGAGAAATCTTGTTATTCCTTGCTAATCTTAGGCATACAATGGAATTGTATTTTCATAAGTATCCCTGAAAGGACATTTAAAGTACTTTAAATTCTTCCCCTTTTTAAACAATTAGTACCCATTTTATCTATGTCTCTAACCTTATTTCTTTAGAAAAACAGCTGAGACTGCTATATTCTAATTATCATAATGAAATGTGATCATTTTTCATCACAGCCTTTGCAGATTTACAAGCTGAGTGAAACATATGATAGTTTCTGAATACCTCTAAGGAGCCAGTGCAATCATTTTTCACATATTAATTTCAGCCATTCTGTAGCCCTCCCCTATCTCATACAAAACTTGCAATCACATAACTGCTGTTCATTTGGCCCATTTGGGTATTATGTCAAGTACTATAATTTTTCCTCACCCATACAGTTTCTCATTAAATTTTAAGCCAATCCAGAAAAAAAGAGCAAATTTGCTTTATTTTTTTAAGTGTGGAAATGCAATGCATATTTCTCTCCTAATAATTATTAAGGTAGCAAACCCAAGTTAACTGTCTAGTGGATGATACCAGCCTTGTATTCTCAGAAAAACTGCATATTTTTAGTTTTGTTCTTGTTATTAGAATCTTTTTTGAAGGTATTAAAATTATTATTTGATCTCATTGGAAAGAAAATCTCTGATATCTATGATTTTTATAACATATTTTCCATCTTTTGGACCATTAGTCTATCAAAGCAAGCCAACACCTTGAGGGAAGAATTGAAGTATATTTAACCTCCAGAATACTATGGACCTTTTTTTGTTAAATGAAAGTGTATTTTTTTTAAATTTCTATATTAAAAACATCTATAACATTAAAAAAAATCACGACTCAGAATTTTAACAAAGGCATATAATATACCATGACTTATGATAATATATTGTTCACTAGGCGGCTTGAATAGAAACAGAAAACATAAAAATGTTGCATTGGCTCATCATGGCCCTGTCTATGAAGCCAGTTCATAGTTTCCATATGGCCCATCTGTCTAGAGCAAAACATTGTTGAAGCATGAGCCACATCGTTGAAAATCAGCTTTATCCCTGACCAAAGACATGACTCAGAAACACCACAGGCATAGAAATTTCCAAGTAGTCTCCCTGGTCACCTAATCCACTGTTGTCTTCTTGGGAGTTGGAATAGAAGATTTTACAGCAAATCTCTTTGGTCTCTCCGTTTAGAACAAGGTGTTCCAAATGGATTAACCATATAGCAGTTACACACTTCTCTGAGGAGAGGTTTGCTGCTTACTCAGACCTCACCCTGGGGAGTGTGTGGGGATTTCAGTGTTGGTTCTCATCTTTTATGTTTTTCTTTTCTCCACAGTAATTTAAAATTTATCCTGGGGAAAATGGTTACTATTCCAGATTATATAAACACAGGAAAAGAATCATTCTAATTTTTTTTACCCTCTGATGCTCTATGTAGTTATGTGGTTCAAAGAAACCAAGATCATTTGAACATGAAATTGTCCAGATTTTCCTGTTTGTCTTTCTTCTTAGTTCTTGAATGAATATTCTCATATTTGCTCTTCTCTGCAGTTTTAGAACTATTTTAGAAGATATTAAGGTCTATTTTTTATCAAAATTACTTTATATTGGCTGTGTTTATAAATCTGAGAGCTGCCCAATGAACAGATGCAGCTTCATCATGTGGGGATTAGAGCTTTAACCACTAATTTTGGTGAACCGTCTAAAGTCCTTCCACTTCGACTCTCTGCACAGTATGTTTATAACAGAGTTAATATATTCTCCAAATTTTTTCTCAAGGAGTCAGTGAAACTAAATGAGTTCATTGCTGCTAAAGTACTTTTGTAACTTAGGAAAGCAAGATTTTTTGTCTCCTTCTAATAAGAAGTAAATTGTGGTATTACTTTCTCTCTGTAGACATTGGAAAAACATAAACACCTCTTATCAGACTGTGTTATCATGCTTAATCCATACTTTTTCATTTTACGTAATGCTCGCAATTTCTTATTTGGTTTGCTGAGGCCACCAGCTAGCATTACAACTTTTCAGTTGACAGGTCATTTCATATCTCTGATCATTAGCTTCATTATATGCAGAAACAAAAAGCAAGCAAACTAAGACATATGGGTGGTGCTTGTGCTTTCAATGGATTTTAATGATTATATAAAATTTATGTTTATGAAACTATATAGGCTCTTGTTGCACTCAGTATTATTGTAAGACACAATTATGAGCAACATGTAACTATAGGAGATAAAGTCACAACAAATATGTTGCAATAAATTAAACTCACTTAGTGAAATCTAACTTAGAGTTGTGTATAGAATAGCTGTAAGCCAGGCATTTTTGGAAACACAAAGAAAAACCATTGTCTTAGGGTCCTGGGAACTTTGTCTGTTTAAGAAAATGAAATAATTGAAGAGGCAAATCAGTGATAATAAATATATTCCTAATACTGCGATGCTGATTATTAGGGTAACTAGAAAGTAAAGATGGGAAGGAAAAGACTGTGGTAAGTTAGGAGGGATTTCATAAACACAGCCATCTTTAAGGAGCCTTTCCTCTCTCTCAGGCAGAAATGGAGGTTGCAGTCATCTTTTTAGGTGCTACATGCCAGTGCTCCATTCTAGGGAATAAAATGAACAAACAAAAAACCCAAGAGCTCAGTTTATGAGAGCCACAGTCACCTGTGGAGCTGGAGAGTGACACCG